TGGGGATCTCACCCTGATAGGCCTTCCAACTTGCCCCAATGTTGTTCCTTTTGTGCTGCTTGTTTTGTTCTCTTTTTTACATTGTTAGTATATTTTATGGAAATAACTGGTGTTTACTTGTTTGTTACCTTTTAAAGTTTTAATAGTAAGGCTACCTATGGACCAAAGATTTAAGACTGTTACATACACTGTCAATTCATGTAGATGCTCTTTTTATGCTATGGCCCAGATCCAGCAAAGCATTGAAACCTGTGAGTAGCTTTAGGCATGTAAATATCAAGATGTATGGGACTACTGATGCATTTAAAGTTGTGCTCATGCTTAAGTGCTTTACTGGATTGGAGTTTATATATTTTTTTTCTTTTGATGACTGAGTGTTTTGGATTTCTCCCAGCCTTGAATTAATACACACTTAGTATTAAGTTAAAGGGTCAGCAGCTCTATTGAATACATACTGTATCAGTTTTCTCTTTTCTTGACCTGTGACTGTCAATGAAAGGATAACAATGCTACTTCTTGCTTAGTATCAGAGGGGTAGCCGTGTTAGTCTGAATCTGTAAAAAGCAACAGAGGGTCCTGTGGCACCTTTGAGACTAACATGACTTCATGCTTAGATTACACCTTCTGTCCAAAGGTCTCAAACGTGAAGAGTTTTCAGGAGTGTTTTTGCCTTCTATGGATTTCAATGAGGGTTGGATGTGCACAGAGGGACATAGTGGGTCAAAGAAGTCATGAAGTAGATACTTGATCATAGAGCAGAAAGTTGGAAGGTCATCCATTATATTTCTTGGCTTCAAAGCATGATGTACACATTGGATAAAATGCTACTTTTCATACTGCTTTAGCCACTTACATATAGCCATTAAAAAATCAACATCTCAAGCACTGTATATTGTTCTTACAAAAGGAATACTGTTAATGTGTTATTTGTGGTGCCCCATAAATGTAAGTCTTCATTATTGTATTGAATTCAAATGACCTTCATATTTCATATGATACTGTCATATCTAATTATATTTTACATTAAGCATTTACTGGAGCTAGTGAACTCAGATTTCACGTTGCTTGAAAGCAAATATTTATGGGAGAAGCCACTTGGTTTGCTTGTAATGTTGTATATTCCTTTTGCTGCTGTTAAAATATACATCTAGTAGAGTATGTTTATTTATCCTGGAATAAACTTCATTTTATCTTCTACAGAAAAATACAGTCTATTATTTATGGCAATGTTTTTTTCTTGGTACATGATTGTGATAATAAACACTGAGCTTAATTTCTCCATTACATGAACTATTAGGTACAGAAGTTGGAATATTTTTTTCTTCACAATCTATTAAACACAAATATAATAATTAGCAGAAAAGAAAAGGATAACTGTGACAAACCCAGGGTGAGGAAATGTATATAATTAAATAGTAGAAAAGTTCCCATCTTTAAATGCCAATTGTATTAGTTTCTGAAATTATGTTAAGTTGTGCTTAACAACCAGGACCCATGCCATGATTTAGCTTTTACTTTACCATAACATAATACTAATACAGCTCTGTGTACAAGTAGGTCTCAAAGTAATTTAAAAAGGGTAATATCATTAGTGAACTGTATGGCATTTACTCAGTCTAACCTCAGAAGAATTAAAAACAGAATTGACAGAGGTCCTCCGATGATGGTGATTCTCTCACTAAACTATCCCAGCTCCTTAGCTAGTTGTTTAAAATGAAGTTATACTCTGAAGTGTAACTCTCTTTGTGGGGGTCCATATTTGTTGTGTCTCAGTGACTTACAGGTCAGAGTTAACACAACAAACTTGTACCAGAATCTGACTATTGAACACATCATCACCAATTATAAAGATTCTGCAGTCCAGTTTTAGTAGACATTTTTGATGATGATGCATTACCCAGACTGAAATCCATTCACACTTCCATAGCTGTCTTGTGTGTGGAGTTCTGGGAGTTTTGCTTTTGACAATAAAATAAACAGATACTTTTGATTAATAAAGCATCATTATGCATAGTCAGTTTTCTTTAATGCCATTGTGATCTGGAAGTTTACTAGGTAGGTGATATTTATATGTTAGAAAGGTTTTTAAAAGAGTCTTTATCCTGAGAAGGGCAGAACTGGGAGGGATACAATGATAAGGAACTGATCAAGAATGTCAAAACTGAGAGAAAAGGAAGAAGACTCCCTTTACTATACCTAATTGCTAACTTACAATATTAGAGGAATCAAGAATGAAATTGTTGTTATTTCTTGGCATTTAAGTGAAAACCAAATAGCAGTATCTCCATGTACTGGTGTCACCAACATGGCTGGTAATAATTAACCTGATGACCAGTTTCCCTTTAATCCCAGTGACTGCCTGTAGAATAAGATCATGACAAACAGAAAGGGCAGCTATGGTTTCCTTTCAATAGCAAATTGCCCTTTTTTTGAAACTTCATCCAATAGGCTAACCACTGATTGAAGGCAAAGAAGCAATTTGTGTTTAGAAATCCATTTTGTTGGCAGCATTTATTGCCACATTTCAGTTTTTTAATTTTTGGTGATGTGTTTTCTGACCCTCTATGTGGTGAACAGAGAAAGCTTATAAATTCTACAGCTGGCCTGGTTTAAAATGGCATGTTTCAGAGAAAGGAAAGAATAAATCTCCATGATTATCTTGAGCATTCATTACCTGAGTTCACTGTTTGTTTGTTTTTGTTCTCATGACTATCCTTTCTGTCTGTCTATCTTAAGTACTTACCTGGCTCCATTAGCGTAGTATCTGAGCACCTCAGTCTTCAACGCGTTTGTCTTCACCCCATCCTTCTGAGGTAGGGCAGTGCTATTATTTTCGTTTTACAGGTGGTGATCTGTGGCACAGAAAGACTACGTGACATGTCCACGATCACCGAGGAGACCTGTAGTGAAGCAGAGAATTGAACCTCTGACTTCCACATCCCAAGCTAGAATCATCAAACCATCCTGCTCTCTTCATAAGGGAAAGGTCATTCATTACGTCAAAGTATTAATAATAGTGCAGAAGAAGGAGCATAGAATACACATTTTTTCACCGTTAGAAGAGCCATCATGCTGGGATACACCGTAGTAAGACTACGGTGCAAATCTGGTGCATAGAATCATATGTCAGTGAGTGGTACTAAAATGAATATCTCACATTAATTTGCCACTTTTTATCTGAAAGGATCCCAAAGCACTTTGTGAATTAGATATTTCACACGAGTCATTGCACTTTTGTGCTGGAAAAGGGCAGCTGTAGACAGAGCACAGGCCATAAAACGCAGAAGGATATTGTGTCCAGTTGAAATTTCAGGAGTAATGTAGGTACACAGATTGTCATTACCAAAATTGGAATTTGTCCAGAAAACGGGTTAATATCCATACTATACAGAATACATGTGAGGGAATAGAATGTTAGTGTTTGGAATTTCAAAAGACCTGCAAATCTAGTAGTCTTAAAAGAGCTTTGATACACCGTTACCTCGATATAACGTGACCCGATATAACACTCATTCGGCTATAATGCGGTAAAGCAGTGCTCCGGGGGTGTGGGTGGATCAACGCAGGTCCAATATAACGCGGTTTCACCTATAACACGGTTAGATTTTTTGGTTCCCAAGAACTGTGTTCTATCGAGGTAGAGGTGTATTTTGAAATTTTGTTTTATACCACTGTAAAGAGCATTTGAAAACCAGTGTAATTTAAAGGTTTGATATAAACCATAAGAAAACGTATTATTGTAAGAGTGGCAGTGAATTCTTCAGTTACTAGTACATAAGCAATTCATTCTAACCTCAGTTTTCAGCCACTTGCATACTAATTCTTAATTTTTGCAGGCCTGGCATTTGTCTGAATGTGGATTTTTCTCTGGCAAATTGTACTGGGAGAGTGAAAAAATACTTTTTTACTCTTGTTTAAAATAAAATTCACAACTGTTTTGCTGAAACAGCTGTGGAAAGGAAGTTGAAATATGGCTTGATAGTATTCCTTGTTGAAGAGCAGAACCACTGTTTCGTCTGATGAAAAGTGGTTTTGATCTGATTGAGTTGTGACCCACTAAAAATTGCAATATGTGTATTGGCAGAAGACTTTGCACAGAAATTTCTCACTAAGATGGTAAATTGTGCAGCTAAGGCAGACTGTGTAGTATGTGAGCTTGTGGCTAACTTGTATGCACAGTGGAAAGATTAAGGCTAGAATGTGACCTCGGGTACAGTCCTGAAGAAGTCCTGAGAGCCATTGTGCCCCAAATGCCCTGTTGAGGTACAGTCCTATCCCATCCCTGCTCTTCTATTGCTCCGGAGGCAGTGTGGGGGTGGTGCTGGTGGTAAGGGAATAAGTTACTCTAGGCCTTGAAAGGGTACAACTTACTTCCAGCCTTGCATCTGGCCAGCTATTCTGGCTGTTGAATGGTGTGCGTGTGGGTGTGCAAAGCCAAAGCTCTGCCCACTTCCCGGCCACTTTCTTGGAAGGTAGAGTATCCAGAGATCAGGGACTATGCTTTAGAGCAGACTGAAGATCCACATAAGTCTGTCCAGTTAGTACAGCAGATGCGGGGAGATGTAGCCTTACTCCTGTGCTGTGTCAGTAAGACAAGAATGCAGCATAGTCCTTAAGCTTGTAGGAAAAATGGTACATATTGATATAGAAATGGCATGTGATCATGTACTTAAAGACTCATCAAAATGCATATGCAGAAGGAATGGACATAGTAAAGATTGCATATACAACCTTAAATTTAGCATTGTCTTTTTTAATGCTCGACTATAAAAGGCATAGGTACAACATTTCGAATCATGGGGTCTTGCTCCATGATTGGGGTTCCCGGGAACTACAATAACACAAATAATAAATAATATTTTTATGAAGGGGAAAAACCCTGCATCATTGCTTGGAGCTCCTTTAATGTGGTATTTGTAGTGATATTAGATGAGACTAAGCTTTTAGAGAACTCTTTGTGGTTTCAATACTCACATCAAGTTTTCCTCTTTTTTTCCCAGGAGGGGCAAGAAGCACAGTATAATTCTGAGGACGCAGCTCTCAGTGAGAGTCCACGTCTGCATTGGTAAGTGAGGTTCGAAATGACAAAATAGAGAGTACTCTGGGATACGAGTTTGAGGAATATGATGAGATAGGCTTGCTTTCTACAAAGTTAAAATGAATAGGCCATATCTTGCTCACCCTCCTTGAAAAAAAAATACCTCCCACTGATTTCAGTGAGATTGTTGTATGGGTGAAGTGAAGAGCGTTCTACTTTCATTAATAATCAGGGATTTATCTCTAGGAAATATCAAAGTGACTAGGCATTGTGGGTAAGAGCTGACATTACTCAATTTGGACAGCTGTTCCTGGATCCTGATTTGAAACATACCAAGGGATATGTAATAATGTTACTAATATAAAGGTCCCGTATTTTCAGTATTTACAAGTCAAACCTTTTCTTTTGAACTCTGGATACAGGATGGCTGTATCTAAACCTTTAACCACATTTGAGGAATTGACCCAGGAGCAAGCTGGAAAAAGGTTTAATTTCTAAGTTATATGCAATTTTGATTGAAAAGGGTGTTGATAAGAAAACAACCAAGATGGGAAAGGGATTTGGACAAATAAATTGATCTGGATTAGAAGGTCTCTATATGGCAAGGCAGATATACATCTTCGATTTGTGTAGCTCATAAAGCATATTTGTATAAATGTCTTTTGACTCCAGATAAGATCAATCATATTTTTGCTACTAGGGAAGTGCTTTGTTGGAGGGGCGTGGAGGAAAGGGGAACATAGTAGCACACATGATGGTTTTGTCCAGAAACTAGACAGCTTTGGGAAGAAATTATTAAAGACATTCATCTTCTGACATTTTGTCATCTTCCTAGAGATCTCCCTGACCTGCTTACTTAATGCTCTACTAAAAAGATCTACAGTTTAAACAGAATGACAAATTAATTTCTTTTTTATTGTGTTGCTTTGTATTGCACATTATTGGAGAGCTGTGACTTCTCCTCCAGGGAATTGTGGCATAGTAAAATATGGACTATCCTCGTAATGGAAAAGTTTTCACATCAAGTACCTGTGCAAGAGAAGCGACAAAAAGAGAATAGGTATTTAGAAATTTGGTCACCCTTTTTAGCATACTCAGAGGAGGAGGGCTCCACAGTCAGCAAGCCAGAATCTTTAGCCAGGTTCTTTGAATATTAACCTGTTCCTGAATGGGTAATGTACAATGTAATATGTTAACCTTTTATTGTAACTTTGCCTTAATAAAAAAGTTTCAAACATAAAATGAAGAGGGTTTGGCCATGTGTGATTGAGGGGAAGTAATCTGTAGAACAGAGGTCTCAAAGTCCCGGCCCGCGGGCCATCTGCAGCCCGAGAACCTCCCCACTGCGGCCTGCGGAGGAGAGACGCATGCAGCCATGCTGCCGGCTCTGTCTGCTGCGGGCACCGCCCCCCACAGCTCCCATTGGCTGGGGGAGAGGGACAGAGATACCATCACTAGTTGCCTGGCAGAGTCCGCCGTGGAGGCAGCATCATTAGTTTTCGGGCAGAGTCAGCCATGGAGGCAGCGTCACTTTTTTCCACAATGAATATAAACAAGTCAAAATACCGAACACAACTATCTGATGCACACCTCGTTGCAGTCCTGAAGGTTTCATCTGCTCAGTCACTGAGTCCAAACATCAATAAACTGACAGAACTGAAGCGTTGCCAGGTGTCTGGCAAGGCTAAGAAATCTCTGGCAGGCAAAGAATTGTATAAAGTTGTACGACAGTTTTATTATTTCTAAGAAATTTGAAATAAAAAATACAATATCAACGTTTTCTTTTCTGAACACCATCTTCAGTGACCTCATTGGCCCACTGGGAGGATTTGAGGACTGGCACTGGCCCTAAGGTAAATTGAGTTTGAGACCCCTGCTGTAGAAGTTTAAGAAGCACAATGGAGATTTTTGGTGTTGTATACTAAACTAGCTGTGATGTTAAAGCTGTGGTGCGGATACTTAAAAGTGCTTGCACGATCCATGTATCCACAGCATTTGTACATACCCCCTCGATTATGCTTACTGGGTTGAGAAGAGGAGGTGAGAAATTGCTGGCTGACAGCTAACTACTGTATTTTAGTAGCCTGTAATATTTATCTTTCTGCATATTGTGGATCTTGGCCATGCAGACTGTCATTATCACTGTCACGATTTTGGAAGTACTCTGGTTAGAATATTGCTGTCCTAAGAAAAGCCAACTGAAACAAGTTAATGTGTATCTTAAAATGTCCACATAGTACTAACGTGGCACGAATGAAGTTACCCTCTGGTACATTGCCTATGGCGAAGTCAGTGCATTGCAAAGGGAATTTTATAAACCAATCTGCTGCACAGCAACTCATTTAAATGGACCTTAGTGGTAGACGCTAATACAAATGGCTTGAGTGCACTGATGTTGTCATACCAGGACATTGTAAGTGGCTTGGGTTCATAAAAAAGAATGTATCCCATAGCTTCCTTTTTCTCTCCTTCATTTCATTTTCTTCCATGATAGGTTACTTTGGCACTTTAGCCATTCATACTGTGCTAGTCTGGATTCAAGAGATCATAGTCTGAACACAGAACTATAGCGACACATGTTTTTAGGCTCATTAAAGGAAAAAAAAGCTGAGTAAAGATTCACTTTATTTCTAAGATTGTAGTGTTGTCTGAGTGTTCATGAAATCAGACTTTAAATACAATTAAACTTTCTTCTTAATCTAGGGACACATTCTGAAACAGCCTTTATAAGAATTTGAACTGAACATAAGCAACCTACAGAATTCCTCAAATGCCTCCCATTGAGAGCTGTCTTTAGACAGCATCGTGTAGAAACAGATTCCCCTATACTAGCTGATTGAAGAACAACAGTGGACTATTATTTGGCATATGTGCTTTGCTATTAGGGAAGAAGCAAGGATGCCAAGACTAGGATGATTGTATAAATATGAATTAAATTAAAAACAGTTTGGAGAAACACTTGTTCTGGCTGGCTATGGTATCTTTTCAACAGACCATTAGCACAAGAGAAAATTTCATATGTTTCCTAGAATCACAAAAAATATTTCCTCATGTCAGATTTTTAGTTTGGCCAGAGTGCAAAGAGTCAGAGCATTAGGTTTGCATTTGCAGTTATCTGATGGACATGCACAAATGTCCTTGAACATATGTATCTTACTGTACACATTTTAACTTCCATTTTCAAAAATATGTCTCTCAGTGTAAAAGGCTATCATAATGTTCTGTGCATAGATGATGCCTTGAATTTTAAATCTGCAAAATTTAATTTGGATCTGCACTTTTGGCTAGGTGCATTATAAATATAGGGGCAAACTGCAAGATCTGGATCTGATTTTAGATTCCAGCCCCCTGCTGAAGTTTTTGGAGTTTTCAGATCAGAGGTTTTGTTTCAGCCCATGTCTGATTGTAATGTAGTTTTCTTAATTTTTTTATAAGCTACTGTGAAATAATAGGGAACTCTGAATGGTTTTTAGTGTTGGAATCATTCTGAGAAAGGTACATGTCAGTTACACTTTTCAGAAATTAGGAAGGGTGTTTCACTGGCAATGAGTATCTGTCTTCATCTTGCGTATCTGTCCATATCAGCTGCATGCTACGCCTTTTTCCAAATATGAGCATTAGGTTCTGAGGTTGAAAGATATATTACTTTTTTTTTATTTGGGGGGAGGAGGGTAGAAGCCAGGAGTTAGAGCAATTTGAGCTGGTGTTCTATGAAATAAGAAATGTGCTTCAGATCTTTTCTTTAGTTCCACCCACCTGTACTATAATTACAATAGTCTTTCTTCACAATGTGCTTGCAAAGGATTGTGCTTAGAATGTGACTGTGTTTAAAGTCATCACTATAGTATAACTGTTTTACTAGAGAGCATCAGGGCTGTTGTCACATAGTCTGTCATCACTGCCAGACTCCCAATCATAATTTGCATTTAGGGCTGAAATAAAGATTTTGTTTTTCTTTGAATAAAAGCTCCCTTGAATAAATTGTCCAATATTTTTTTCCATCCCTAAATCTTTTTTTTCATGTCAAATATGTAAACATTTGTGTTTAGAATGTCAGAATAAATTTCCCTGCATTAGGGGATGCTACTCTCTTGGCAATACATTGGGCATTAGTGCCAGCAGATGTATTGACTAATCTTTTCTGAGCTTTAGGAAGTAGTAGTAGTTACAATCCTACCTCCAACTTGTGACAAAGGAAGCCTCATAACATTATGCTCAAATTAAGAACTTGATGGAAGAAGGAACAAATAGCTTTTATAACTATTTTTCCCTGTCTTATTTAATCCCAGTTGAATCATATAATGATTAATGTAATCAAACAAATGAACAGTTTTAAAATCAAGACTTGAGTGAGCTGAAATTTTGCTGTAGCTTAATCCAGTTTTTTGTTTATAGAGCATGAAACCAGTGAAAATGATGGGCTTAGTTTTGCACCAATTAATGTAAATTGAGCAGAAACAGGCCTTAAATGGCCCAGTTTCAGATGCCTTGTTCTCAGTTCTATCAAATTTTGATTTTTGTTCGGTGTAATTACGTTGACAGTGAGTTAATACTCCATGGGTTAAGTCTCATTGGTGTCTTGGCACGCCTTATATCCAAATTTCCTTGCTTTCATTTGTTTGTGACCTAATATTATTTTTTGCACGTGTGTTTTAAATATGGAAGATTACTTGATAAATTCCTATGTAAACCAAGATTTGGCCTAAAACATCAACAGTCCTAAGAACTTTCACCTTTTCCAGCAAAACACAGATTTCAGTCAGAGCAGCTTTTGACTAGTTAGTGCCCAGTATTGCATGGACAAAATTCTGGGCTTTCCCTAGCAACACCAATTAACTCAATAATTACGTACTGCCAACATTTTTCTGTGACAGATTAATAGAAGAAGAGAACACAGTGACCAGAACAAGGGAACTCTTCATTATTTCTTGAACGTTCACTTTACTTTTTCTGTATGAGAGTGGCCAGGCAGCTGGTATGCTGTGACCTCTGCTTAATACCATACCTTAGACCTTAATTCCTCCTGT